TGGGTGGGTGGGTGGGTGGGTGGGTGGGGGGTGGGTGGGTGGGTGGGTGGGTGGGTGGGTGGGTGGGTGGGTGGGTGGGTGGGTGGGTGGGTGGGTGGGTGGGTGGGTGGGTGGGTGGGTGGGTGGGTGGGTGGGTGGGTGGGTGTGTGTGTGTGCGCGTGCGGGCGTGCGGGCGTGCGGGCGTGGGGGCGTGCGTGCGTGCGTGTATGTGCGTGTATGTGTGTATGTGAGCATGCAGGAATCCACGCATGCAAATATGCAAGCATGCAAGTATGCATGCCTGCATGCACGCATGTGTATATAGTATATAGTATGTATGTATATATAAATTGATGTTAGTGTCGTGCGCAATGTTCTTCCCTCTTAGAATCCCGCTCCTTTGCAATCAGTGCACGTGTGCCATAGAAGTGCCGCAAACCGTGAATTCAACTTACATGCTTGGCTCATTGGTCACTCAGAGAGGTCCGGATCCCCACTATCCAAGTGGCTCCCTCCAATTCATCGCAAAGTAATTCAAGGATGAAGACCCTCCAAAAAAGGTCAACATCTCCAAGGCCAACCACTTCTTACCAGAAAGTGCTCGGACTATGCACTGGACGGACACCAACGGCGAGGGGCGTTCCAGGGCGGCGAGGGAGGCGCCGGCGCCAGAAGAGTCTTCCATTGAGAAGCCTGGCTTGAGGCGCGGCAAGACGACCAAAGGGGGGGGGCCCTTATAAGGCGATCAATCTCTGGTTGGATTGGTGACCAACAATTTGGCTGCACCGCGTTTGAGGGGGACCCCGAAACATGAGTGACTGCTTTCCTGGTGGGGTCCCCTTTAAAAAACCCTCAAAAAGGCAGTACCCTCAAAAAGGACAGACCCATTTTGGGCGGCTGATTCAACCATGGACACTTTTCTGGCCACTGGCGGGAGCCTTAGCCTCTGACAGTCACAACTTTCGGCTCCTTATGGGCGACATGGGTATGGGTTCGAAATTAAACCGCCACAAAACCGCAGGTTCTAGTCCATGTTTCCATTTGCCAGGGTCCCATTTCGGGCACCTATTTTTGACCCGCAGCCATATTGACAGCTTGTGGACATTGAGTCCGCGTCAAAGTCGCTTGACTGTGGTTGTCAAAACCAATAGGATCGGTGCACCACCCATTTTAGCTTATTTTAGTGGGGATTGGGATGTTCACTGGGGGTGCGGGCTTTTGGTGTATTCATGAAGCTGAGTCACATGAAGGTCAGGCCAAAGTCTCGCAGTGGAAATTGGCGCTGTCACAGCTGTCACGCGCAAGGGGGACGAGGCCTCATCCGATGTCACTAAAAAGGGTGTGAATTTCAATGGGGGACGCGGGTGGACATCACAAGTCGGTGGAGATTCGGACGAATCCGCCAGTTGTGAGGTGGATTTCACAGCCCTCGTCACCTAGGTTCTCCAGTAGAGAGGTTAGAATAAGGGTACCAACTTTTTTCTGTAGTCTATGTTAGTAGAGGAACCCTCCCAACCAAAAAAGGGGTAAAAGAGCGGGCACCTGGCTGGGGGACCTATAGCCCCTACTACAAGTACCCACTTGTTCTTGGAAAACCTGGTTTTTCAAGGCAAGAATACCTCCCTTTTTAGTAGAGGCTCGACCTCATACCCTAAAAGAAGGCCGGGTATTTGGAGTAATGTTAACACCGGATCTAAGTAGAACCCCTGGTTGATTTTGATCGGGGGTTGTCCAATTCCTTTTACAGGGATCCTTAGATTATACACCTGAACATTGCAACTGGTATTTGGTGTTGTTTCCAACTTTATTTTGGTGTTGAAAAAGCCAGCCATGATTCAAATGGAAAAGCAAAATGTGTATCTCTTTTAAGGAGCCCTGTTTTAGTGCTTGGATTCAGACCCCCTAATGGAGGGGTCCCCACCCTAAGAATGGGACGAATGGGTTCTACTTAGATCCTTGGCTGGAATTAACAAATCGGACCCCAGCAAAGAAAAATACATTTTGTTGCTTGGTTCGTGGAAAAAACAGAGGGGACCCCAGCAAAAAAATACTTTTTTGGCCTGGCTAATGTTACCAACATTAGTGGAAAACAAAAAGAGGACCCCCAAAAAAGTTCAAAAAGTGAGAAGGGGGAGCTCATTCTGGGGGGTTTGATCCTGGGTCATTATTAGGGGTAGCCCTAGCTACACCCATGGGCGGACCACCGTTTTCGGTCTCTTCCCGTCCGCCGAAGATGCCGCCTTTGCGGCGGCTCGCTGCTCCATGGTGATCTTCCGCAGCTCGCTGTAGCGCTTGGGCCCGCGCCGGCTGCCTCCCGACGGAACTCGCCAACCCCTGACCCTCTGGAGGGGTTGTCCTCCCAATTCACATGGATCTAGGGGACACTTCCATTTCCATTCTTTCCAGGGATCCGGATCTTTCTAGAAAACCACCAAAAACCCTGGGGAAATGGCTGGTTTTTTGAAAAGAACGATGGCTGAAAAGAATGGGGAATCAACCCCTAGAATGGAACCTGACGTTCGGGACCCGGTCGCTGTATACAGGGCAAAGGGTCCAAACCCGGACCCCCCCGTCGGGTTCCATGTTAATTGGTGGGAGGGTACCTCATCTATGATTTTGGGGAATAGGACGAAATCATGTCTTTTAGGAACAAACAAAATCAACGCTATCTGGCACTCGAGCTGCTTTGCAGTCATGGGGGTATCCGCCAGGTTGCCATCATACAACAACCTGATTCCCCAAGAGGAAAGCAGGAAATCTGGGTGGGACTTCTAGGGCCCTCCAGAAAAATCCTAACCCCGATAGTAGGTTGACATGGTCAACTATTCCTGCCTAAGCCAAGATTTGTGAATAAGTAGACCGTGGGTTTTCCTCTTGGTTTCCCTCTGCAGCCGCTAAACATCTCGTTGAATCAGGCTTCTACTTTTTTGACTGCCCCAGGGTAGACTTGAACACAGGGGTGGTTCATTACCGCCAAAAGGAGAACACCTGGATTTATGTCTATATTACTAAAGAGCTAGGGCGCTGCAGGTGTTACCCTCCCACCAACTAACATGGAAGTGCAAAAAGGCCCTTTCCAAGAGGAAAGTAGTCTTTCTACAGTACAGGGGTCTGTGCACTTCCATGTTAGCCGGTGGGAGGGTAGTCGTTGGCTAGATTTACCAAGGTGCCCCTCTGCGACCATCTTCTTTGCCTACGTGTGTCTTAACTTTCTAGGGGTACCTATTCCTTTCAGGGATCCGGATCTTTAATCCAGAAAAGCTCCAGAAACCCAGGACGGCAGGCTTTTGAAAAGAACGATGATTGAAAATAATGAAATCGGAATCAACCCCTAGATGGTTCCCCTAGTAAAATAGACAGCAAAAAGTTGGTACCAACTTATTCTATCCTCTCAAATCTGGAGGACCTAGGAGCCGCTTCGTTTTGTCAAACCCTACCCTACGGATCTTGATCCCAAACAAGCCAATCCATATGGCTGTGGCTTAAAAACAATGTACACAAATGGCACCATGGGTCAAAATTAAACCACCAGACCGCAGGTTTTAGTCCATGGTTCCATTTGCCAGGATTCCTCTGGGTTAAAATATGTACCCATAATGGAACCCTAGTAAATGGAAACATGGACTAAAACCTGCGGTCCCCTGGTGGTTGAATTTTGACCCAGAACCGACCATGCTTCAAAAAGTCAGAAGGCGGATATCCGCAGCTATTTATAGTTGGGATTGTCCCAATTACTAAGTTTTCATCTACCCGGGTTTTGATTATGGCTCACCTGTTCAGGGCGTTCGCGATGATTCTCCGGAAACTACGCTGTTGATCACCGCTTTAGGATGCTTCGTTGACGGCTCAATGGTCATGCCCGACTCACTAAGTACGGAACGAGCGAACAAATGGATGGCGCAGCCCGCCACAAACACCAGCGGATGGTTTGATCAGGCGGAAGGGAAACGTGTAAGAGACAAACCCGGAAGTGGCCGTGTTCCGGATGTTGCCATCCACATTTCAGGACTCGCTGTTCATCAGTGTCTCACGAGCTATTTCCACAACGGACGCGTTAGACGGAGTCTCTTTGGAAGGGACACGGCCTGTAGCTCGGCTTGACCATGCCTCAGCTTCCCTCAAAACCCAAAAGGTTCGCACCTGAACATGCGCAATTACAGTAACTCACAAAGCACACCCAACGGTTCTAGGGAAGCTTCCCCGCTCCTTTTAGAAATCATGTTTAAAAAAGAAGAATAAAAAAAACGAACGCCAAAAAATAACAGCTCTTCGAGAGGAGCGATGGTTGAAAAGAACGGACAAGGAAATCAAACCCTACAGTAACAACCCACCAAGCCAACCAAATCAGCCAAGGACCTTGTTTTTTCCTGTCAACTCAACCAAGGACCCTATAGTCACAAACTCACCAAGCCAACCAAATCAACCAAGGACCTTTTGTTTTCCTCCTGGTACCTCAGCTGCCTGAACCAAGGACCAAACCCTCATGGCTCGATCCCATCGCTTGCCAAACGCCTTGGGACATGGACCGCTCGCTGGAGCCCACGCTGGCCATGGAGCCCACTGACCTGAACTCCTGCGAAGAAATGGCTGGCTCTCCCTGAAAGAAAACACGGGGGGGTTCTCAAAGAAAACCACGGGGGGTTCCCAAAAACGGGGGGGGGTCTCAAAAAAAAGACAGACCCCCCCTTTAAAACCAACAAAAAGGTGGGGTTTCTCAAAAAAAGAGAGAGACTGACCCGAATGGGTGTCTCAAAGAAAAGACAGAGCCACATGGACGTCTCAAAATATGGGCTTGGGTTTTCTGCGACTATCCAAAGTCCAAGACAAACCCTCCCTCCTTGCCACTGGTTTTGCTGGTGCGATAGGTGGGGGATGACCGTTCTGGGTTTTGGGAATGAACGGGAAGGGAATTCCCTCAAAGGAAACCAAAGGGGGATGGTTTTGTCTCGGGGTCGTTCCATTTCTCATTCCCTGCATTCCCCCGACCTTTTGGGGGGAGAATGGGCGCCTCTTTAGTCGCTTCCACATGGTCAGCACGCGGATGCCGTCGCTCACTGCAGGGCCAGAAACCGCAATGGGGAGGCTCTTGCGTTGCGGCTCGAGTTGACCTCAGGTTTCCGTGAACTGGTTTTGATTGGGGGCATACAGCCCTTTTCGTGCAAACTCATTCATTACTTTTGGCGGGAACCCCCACGCTCCTCCCCCCCCCCTCCCAAAAAAAAACGGGTTTATACTACCTCCTTGACAGATTCAGCCCACTTTTGGAGGGAACACCGCTGGAATCATAGGACGAGCTTATGCTAATCCAGTACCCCACGGTCCCGGGGACACCCAAGCGACGCTGTTCGAGTACGAAAACGGACCAGGGACTTGGGGCCATCTTCGAATCGGAGGTAAAACTCGCTGCCTGAGTAGATGGCCCAAAACAAGTCCAAACTTTTGGTTTGCCACCACAATGGTCCAAACCCAAAAAGTTTTAAAGTCCAAGAACTCAGGAAGTGAGAAAACCCAAAAAACTCGGATCTGTGAAATCCGGGAGGCTGCATCCAGCTTCGCTTCTTTGTCAAGCCTTAGCCTTCAAAGATCTGGCTTGGGAAGGTATTGGGTCAAAAATAGGTACCCAGAATGGCTTGCCCTGGTACATGGAAGCAAAGACTGAAACCTGCGGTCCCCTGATGGTTTCATTTGGACCCATACCCGAATGACCAAAAAATCAACCCCAACCCTTCCGCTCCTCCCGAGGCGTCTGCGCCTTTTGCTCCGGCCTGCGAGAGGAGGGCCGTTCAAGGCTTCGGTTGAACAGCTGGTCTAGGAAACGGCTTGGATGCGGTTTTTGCGGATCCACCCTTGTAGGATAGCAAAAGACTAGTAACAGAGCATGAAAAAAGAGGAACAACTGGCCAAACAACATGGGGAAACCGCCGAAAGCGCATCCCATCCGTTTGCTGGAGCTGGACCGTGTCAAGAGCGAGCCCCATCTCCGAGCCCCGCGGACCCCATCTTCGTGGATTGGCGGTCCAACTGATGAAAAAGATCCGGGCTTGGGCCTCTCGAAGCTTTGCTGCAACGACCCCCCTGCAAAAAGTGAACCACTTTTGGTGGGTGTAGTGGAAAACACCCTTTTTATTTCAACCAAAAAGCTAAAGTCTTAAGATCCAACCCAATAGCAGTCAAGGAAGCTTGTGCGTGAGAACGAATGTGCATCAGCTCTCACTGAGAAAAACTTGAGACATGAGCCTCAAATCATAACAACCAGAGGGCCATGCCCAAGCTGCATCCAGAAACAAAGGGCCCGTGCCATGTATATAAGTCGGCAATTAAGCTCCACATGCGCCAGTCCCAAACCTCCATGTGTGTCGTTTCGCCGATTGGGTCATGGCTCCCTTAACAGGAATCAGAAAAATGGATACTCATGATTCCTTGCCAGGTAGTTGACCATCGAAGTAAAGGAACCGGTCCCAAAGGACCATGGCATGTTGTCCTTTTCTCGAGGTACCTCTACTTTAGGGTAGTCTGAAAGGAAACCCAAGCAAACCACCCATCACCACACACGTTTCGACCCGGTGAAAGGGAAACCCTTGGCACCTGCGGCTCCCGTTGGTGTCCAAAACCGCCCGAAAAAGAGCCAAGAGGATGGAGGTGCTGCCCACCCCTTTCAGCCAGGAAGTCATATTTCCATTTTGAGGGGGGCTCCTCTTGATCCGCGCCTTTCGTAGGCTCGGTCCTCCAGATTACTCTTGCTCGTAGTTGGGCTCGTCTTAAAATAGAGGGGCCCGGAAAGTGGATCTGGTTTTGCAGAGGGTTGCCAACCTAAAACATGGCACCCTCAAAAAGTTTTGGCACCCACCTGTGTTTTCCCCTTACCAAATGAGAAGGATCCAAGAAACAACAAACATGAATTTCACAAACCCAACCTTCCTTGCCAATGTCTCTGCCTCTGCGTCTGCAGTGCCTGGCAAATGGCATTTCAGGGGTCTCATAGATGAATCAGCTTGGGCACCAAAGCTGGTGTGTCTTTTTGGAGGGCAGCCCTTTTTTCTTGGTAGTTGTAAAGGGAAAGCAAAACCAGCATCTTTGGGGGAGTCCCCTAAAAAAAACGCACCCAAAGCTCATATGTGGGGTGTCTTTTTTTGAGGGTTTGGTAATTTTAGAGGGAAACGGCAAAAGGAACACCACCATCTTGGGCGGGTCCCATGAAACAAACAGCACCCACCCAGTGTCCTCTTGCTCAATGCCATGAGAGAAACCCACTTGGAGTGAAAGAAGGAGCTGGTGTATCATACCAAAAGCCCCCGGCCCAGGGTCTGAGCGTGAGCGAAGCAACGCCTGTCCTCAAGGCCATGCGATGTTTTTGTGTCACTTGCCGTGGTCACTAAAAGCCAAAGTGAAGACATGTGATAGATACCATATAGCATTCATCATAGATACAAGTATTAGATGGAGCTCAACCATTTTTTGGGTGTCCTCCTGGCAGCCCGAGTCTCAAAGGTTGCCTGAAATTTCACCAGGGCCTGCCACAAGGGTACAAGGGTACAAGGCGTTGGCCTTTCGCAAAGGTTGTAGCTGCTAAACGAGTACTGGCAACTCAAAGTCACCCCGGTTCAGTGATAGAGAAGCAACCAAAGAACTACCGACTTTGAACCACTCCAGAAACAAAGAAACATGTCCCCCGTTGAAAAACCTCATGACATATAACCAACATGACACCCAGTAGCGTTGTATCAATCTGGGTGAATTATCATATTTCCCCAACCTGAAACTTGCGGTGGTCAGGGGGGTTCTTCCCACACAAACCCACCCTTTGGATTTGGTGAATTCGGTGGGGTGAATTCGGTCGTTATAATTTTCAACGCAAATCCTTCTGAACGCGAGTTGAGAAGTTGGCCGACTCAAAGAGGCCCGGAGCGGCACCAAGGACTGCTCGAGCCATGGCTCGGTTGGTGGGTCTGCCAAAACAGCCCAATGTGCCATTGGGCTGTTAAACAAAATTAAAGAACTGGGGTTACGGAAATGTTGGTCTTGTTAGTCTTTTGGTTCCAAAGGCGTGATATATATATATATACATATAAATATACATATATACACCCTCAAAAAATACACGCCCACTGCGGGTCCAGATCTATGAATTCTTCATGAAGCAATCACAAAGAGCCAGCCAGGCAATAACAGTCTTGCTTAAGAGGTCGATCATGCATGAAAACAAAGATCCTAAGATCATCACATCGTCAGGGATGGTCCCGCCCATGGGCGACCTTTTGGAAAAATGGATGGCCCTGGTAAATGGAACAAACCCAATCTAAGCAAGCGAACCGCGCAATACAAACCAAAAGGAAAATAGGCGGAACTGGGATCCACTGGGTAAGCCAGTGCCATCTATGTCCAACCAAACTGACCTGACCTCCAACCAACCAAAGCGACACCTATACATAACAAACCAAAAAAGGAACTTCTGCTTAACAAACCAAAGAAGGAACATCTGCTTGCCTACCATAAGGGGAACTGGGATCCACTGGGTAAGCTATTTCTATCCAAACTGACCCAACAAAAAGGACACCTATACAGCTCCGCCCTTTCGGAAAGCGCGCCTGTTCCATAAGCCTCGCCAACGCCCCACCCTGCGCCAGGTCCGCTCGCACGCGCGGGGACACGTCCGTGTGCCGCGCGGCGGAGGGGGCGGTGGAGGAGGCGTCGACGGCGCGGGGGGAGGAGGAAGACTCGCCTGGCAGCGCAACGGCTTCCTCTGGTGTTTAGTGTCTTTCCAGACCTTGGTATGATAGAGAGTCTCTTCCAGCCTTTTGTATGGGCTTGCAACAAGCTTCCTTTCTTTTTGCAGCCCGCTACTAAAACCATGCCAACAACGGTGTGCTGGTGTTTCAAAATGTCGCTTCGTGCTTTCGCAGCGCTCTTGGACCTTGAGCTGGCTCTAAGGAACAACTTAATCCGAATCCGAGAAGCGCGACAAGCAGAAATGACAGATGGCTGTGGTTGTCAAAACCGTTTTGGGATCCCATTTTGTGGTAGGTGAATTCACCACCTATTTTAGACCCTATAGTGGGGATTGGGATGTCACTGGGGGTAAGGGCTTTTGACCCATGGCCAATCTTGACGGCGAAGAAAGATTGGTTGTTCCGGGCTTGGCGAAATGCATGGACAAGCAGAGTGTCTGCCTCACATGCCCACCAATCAGTACTGGTGATCCAGTAGTTTACCATATTGCAAACAGTACGTCTCAAGGCTATATAGTTGTTGAGCTCCAAAGAAGCTGCCGGTCACAAGGTCGGGTTTCGGCTGCTTGCAATCGGGGCCAAACGCAACCTAGCAACAACAACAACAACAACAGTTGCTGCAAATCAAGGATCTGGGAATCTCCAAGTTCTCGTTCAACCCAGTTGCCACAAACAACAGGTTCACCTTTTGGGGCCACGGGAAATTAAAAGGTCAAAAGGTCGATTCGCTTCGGGCGAGTGACTTGAAGGTCCCAAAAGGAGTTCAAAAAGAGTCTTATATTTCAGCTTCCCTTTGATTGGCTTGGCAGTAAGGTTAATTTGGGTCCCATGTACCCACCAGGCCCCGAAAAATCTCGCCCCAGGTTCCGCTCAAGGGTTCTCTGAATTGGGCGGGCCAGAAATCTCCTCTTGAGCTGCTCCGTGAGCCTCGAAGGGCGGTTTTTCAGCAAGCGATTTTTTTTGGTGCCTCCTTTGGAAAAAAAACGGCCGCTAAAAGGTCCATCCAAAATGAGCCACATCGGGAATATGAGGTAGCTTTTTTAAGCCTGCTTCCAAGCGGTTCTTGGCCACCAACCGACTTGGCCGGACTTCGCCCCACACTTTAGCTTTGAATCTTAAAAGAGACGTCAAGCATTTAAAGAACTGAGATCAGCAAGTTCCTTGCGGAAGTGCTTGAGGTGGCCATTGTTTACTTAGACTCAGACCTTTTGGGAAGCATCCTTCTGCCCTATTCACCCCCCCCCCCCTCCCGCGCCGGAATCTGAAGGCTTCGCACGAACTTCGGCGCCCCTGCACACGGAGTGCTCGATTGCTCGCGTGCCAGCTAGGTGTTGCTTCCGCAAAGCAGAAGGGCCGACATGAAATTTCACTGAAACCTCGTTGAACACTGGATCTGCTTACCGTTTGGAAGCAGCCAGGTGATGAATTCTAGGGCAGAAGAGTTGCTTTTCTCTTGGGAGGCGGACTTCCTGAGAACCCTGCGCTTGTGAACAAAGTCTTGGGCCCCGCATTGCACAGAGACGCACTACCTAGAAGCATCAGTCTTTGGGTCATCGCGATATGGCCATGAGTCAAAAGCCAAATCGTTTTTGCCAGTGAACATCCGATTCAATCCCCACTTTTCATAGACTAAAATGGGTGGTGCACCTCCCCCAAAATATATTGACATGGGTCAAAAGCCAAATCGTACCCCACTTTTCATAGACTAAAATGGGTGGTGAATTCACCTCCAAAATGGGATCCCAAAACGGTTTTGAGCCCCAGCCATATCTCAGGAATTGCCATCCCTCGCCTTTCGCGGGGAACCCGGTTTCGTCGAACCCGAGACATGACACGATCCAAGCCGACGCTGTCAAGTGGCAAGGCTGACTCCATGTATAAATACTGTGGGTGGACGAAATCCATTTCGCACCCAAGAAGCCCTGGAATGTTGATTCCCCTGTAAATACCAACAAACAAGGGTTCCTATCTTTTTTAAAGTTGTGCAGGATTCTGTCCATCCACAGTATCAAGCTCGGCACGCGGCAAGCCTTGGAACGAACGCGCTGGGTGCATCAGTCAACGGTCAACGCAATTGGACCACTATGCCAGCAAGCCACCACACCACGCCATTGCTCAACCGCAAACCTGCTGAACATGCAACACTGGCGGCGTGGACCATGAGGCACTTGCTCGAGCTTGCGATCGCCATTCACTGCTTCAAACCTCCAGGAGGTTTGCAGTATGGACCCGCCGCGGCCGACATTCCCGATGTGCATCGCCGGAAACCTCGCATCTTGGACATCTCGCTGGAGAGAGCAGTCTTCAGCCTGCAGCAGGCAATGTCGGTGAGCCAAGGTGAGTGAAGCAGGAAATCGGCACGACCGCCCCGGGGGGTCTTTTTTTGCTACCTGTTGTGGAAAATTGATCGACCCCCTTGTAGTGAAGGATTCCTCTTTGAGGGGGTCGCCAATTTTCTCACAAAGGTTGGCAAAAAGACCCCCCCTGCGACCACCGAGCAAATCTGTCGCCGAGCAAGTCTGCCGGCTGAAGCCGATTCTGTCTCGGCTAAGGTGTCAGCTCACAAGCAAAGGACCCACACCACGGCGACGCTGCAACGGGAAGGACCAACAGGGACCAAACACGGCCCTTGCTAAAACTGGGCTGTCCAACCTTTTCCATCTGCTCAGCGCGCTAGCTCAAGGGGTGGGCAGGAAGCTGGGATGGGCCAAGGGGGCCGTGAGGCACTTGCTAGAGCTGTCAACAGTCAAGCTTCGGCTTGCAATCGCCATACCTCCGCAAATGCCACAGTGCGGTGCATCTTGCAATTGCCACAGATCCACACTAAGTGAACAAAGGCCTCTGCCTCGGGTGCCGGCATAGCAAAGGGGCTTGGCTGGAAAGGAAACAAAGAAGGCATTTTGGATCAAAGCCAGCCTGCGCCTCACCCGCATTCCCTTCGCCCAAAGGCTGGCTAAAGTAAAGCGACGCAACCCTACATTGGATGAACCGAGACACTGGGTTACTCTTTACGATAGGAGGCTTTCGGCTCCTCAAAAGCTCGTGTCTTGCGCTCATCCCCAAACCCTGCCGGGATGCTTCGGGTCAACGGCATAATGCAAAAGGCCACCCAAAGCTGACTCTGGGAGACTGTCTGCGAACGCTGCTGACTCACGCCGCAAAGCAACTTAGGATTTAGAATTGCCTCCGACCATGACAAAGCAAAGACCAAGCAAGCGTAAATGTATATCCCAATTTCAAAACACACGCACACTCACACGCAAACACGCACGCACGCACCCACCCACCCCACCCCACCCCACCCCAGCCCAGCCCGACCCGACCCGACCCGACCCGACCCGACCCGACCCGACCCGACCCGACCCGACCCGACCCGACCCGACCCGACCCGACCCGACCCGACCCGACCCGACCCGACCCGACCCGACCCGACCCGCACGCGCACACACACACACACACAGCCATCAACCAACAACCAATGCAGTTGCGTGACTGCTCGTTGTGTTGGCCTTGCCGCTTGTCGAACAATCTCCATTGACCACGAGATGCATCCAGCTGTCCAACAAACACCTTGCTTGCGTGCCGGGGATAAGATCACATCGACCAACACAAAAAGCAGTTCTTACCATCTGCCTTGCCCTATTCAAGCCTACTAAATCATTCAACCAGACCTGTAGACCCGTTGCACGAATGCACGACGGGTCAGGAAGCCCCCTCCCGCGGCATCCCTGATGTCTCCCGAACAGCGCGTGTCTTAGTCGAGAGCTTTATCATGCGGATGGAGACCTCAAATGGAAACCAACCTCTTTCTCGGCCTCCGAAAAGCCCAACTCCTTGCCACGACATGCACGCGACGCCAAAAAAAAGGCCGCCCAACTCACCACGAAACACCATGTGACACCAAACCTCCCGCCTTGCTTGGTCCAACTTGGTCTTCAGCAGCTCCTCTCTCGAAGCCTCAAAACCGCTCGAGCAAAGGAGCTGCTGCAGTTGGCCAACCAAAGCCCCCGGAGAAAAAAATAATGTTGGGCGTGGGTCCGGAAAAAAATGGTCCAAATGGGTTGATCCCCCGGTAAAGGGAAAGGACGAACACCTGCGGTGGGTCCGGAAAAAAATATATATATATATATATATAAATCTAGGGGTTGATTCCGATTTCTTTGTTTTCAACCCTCGCTCTTTCCAAAAACTAGGCATGTTCGACCTGGGAACCCACGAACATTTTCTAGAAAGGTCCGGATCCGTGGAAAGAATGTGGCAGGTACCCCCTAGAAAATTGCTCAAATGGGTTGTAAATGGAAAGGACGAACACCTGCGGTCCAATTCCTGGTGGTTTAGTTTTGACCCATAGCTGGCTTGAGGGAAACCATGCAAGCCTGTGCGCGAGGGAATCAACATTGGGGAACCTTCGCGCACTTGTCCTCGCAACCGCAAATGTCCAAATATCCCCTTCGCATTCCTCCGAATGCGCCGACGCATTGCGGCAGTTTCACAGAAAGAGTGCTCAAGTTGCAGGGATCTTCTGCCCACCACAGGAAAAAAATGACCTGCGAACGAAAAACGCCAAGCGGCGCTTAACAGAGCAAATGCATGGATCGGTCCAGCCCACAACCATCCAGCAACCTAAAACGAGCAATGCCCAGAAGAAGACTTTCATCATAAGGCCGTTGCAACGCCCCAGCCGAAGGCCGAAGGCCTCTGTGTATCAGAGTTCGCAGCCTTTCCGGACGGGAAACTCTGAGTTGTCCATAAGAATTGAGAGGTACCTCTTGTTTGGTTGATTTATAACCAAAGAAGGCTGAAGGCAACACTTGTGATGCGTGTGCGTCTATTTTGGTCACTTGAGCGCATTGGGCGTCGGTAAGCCCTGAACGGGTTTCAAACATAAGCTGAGCATTTACCTCGAATGCTCATGGAACAAGGGTGTGTCCTTTTTTTAGGGGACCCCCCAAAATGGCTTTGGTTTTCGTTTTGCCATCCCTGATCTGCCCTGATCTGCGTTGCAACCACCGCAATCTTGACTTTGCTCAGTCAGATGCTCACCAGTCGTTTGATAATGGGGTCAATGAAGGCTCGAATTCTTTCCAATTGCAAGGCTCGGTCACCAGTCCATGCTGAAGTCGCGGCTTGCCAAGAGGTCGACCACTCACTTTGAGCAAAGCATTATTATCCAGTAAAAAAACAAAAACCTTGAATAGACCATCACGGCAAAGGGACCTCCTTCTTGATGTCAACTTGCCCGGGACGCGGGGCTGTCCCTTTTGGATGCTCAAAGGGAACCCGAACGCAAACCAAGGGCACCCCCTTCCTTGCGGCCTTGGAGACTAGGGTTGGGTACTTCAAACTTATAAATTGAGCCACGACTTGAGAAAAACCATTGCGCAAACACTCTGCCCCCTTATAAAACACATTTCGCCCTCTATATTTCCACCCTCCCACCACAATGCGCCCCCTTATATAGCCATATTACCCACCTCCCACCAAAATGGGTTCTTTTACCTTATGGCCCCCGCCCGCAACCCGCGCGTAACCGGCCACTGCCGCGCCTTCGAAGACCGCCGCGAGCTGCGGGTTTCCGCCCCCGCCCGGGGAAGAACCTGGCCATTGAGGAGCTGAGCTTAAACCACCCACAAAATATGCCCTCCCTCCCATCTTGTAGGGACCCCCTGGCAGGTGCCAAGTTAGTGGAAGGGAGGGCCACAAGGGTACCCCCGGTACCCCCTGTTTTGTGGCTCGTCTTTTTGGGAGGTGGCCCAGAAGGCGCCGGGCTGGTCCGGCGGGTCGGTAGGGCTCCGGAGGGCTTCAGGTATATCACGCGGGGCTTGCTAGTTTGGATCGATGTGTGTGTGTGTACGTGGGTTGCCTTTTTTTGGGGGTACCCGCATTTCTTTGTGGCTTCAAAGTAGCGCCAAAAGGAACCCCCCAGCTTCAAAAATATGAGAACTAAAGTTATGATTGACTTTTTCCTTCTGTGTCTCTCTGTCTCTCTCTCTCTGTCTCTTTCCCTGCCGGCTCTTTTTACTCTCTATCTCTTCCTCTTTCTCTTTCTCTTCTCTGTCTGTTGCTTTCTCTCCCTCTCTCTCACTCTTTCTCTTGTGTTTCTTCTCTGTCTCTTTATCTTTCTCTTTCTCTCTCTTTCTCTTCTTTGACTGTCTTCTCTATCTTATCCATCCTTTCTCTCTATCCACCTGCCTACCTACGCATCTACCTACCCATCTATCCATCTATCTATAAATGTCCATCTGTCTACGTATCTACTGTATGTATCTATCTACCTATCTATCTGTCTACCTATCTCAGGTACGAATGTATCTACATACCTATCTATCTATCTAGCTACCTATCGATCTATCTAGCTTATCTCAGCCCATCTTATCTACCCAATCAGCCTAGCTATCTGGCTGTGTCTATCTATCTAACCCATCTGACTATCCATCTGTCTATTTATCTATCTATCTCTGCATCTGTCTGTGTGTTTCTCTCTACCTATCTCTCTATCTATCCATCTATCTGCCGCGCGATCTGTCTAGCGTATCTATCCAGTCAAGACCTACCTATCTATCTCTGTCTGGTCTCACCTTCTTTGTTAACTTGCTAACGGGATAGACTTCGTGGCACAACACTGTCGCAAGTTGATATACAGATTTCGTGGCAGGCGTAAGGTGCAGACCTCGTGGCAGGCGCAGCGCTTCCGAAAGGTCAGGCAGATCGCGGGAGACGCAGCACTTGCCCAAGGTAAGGTACAGGTTTTGTGGCAAACAGGGTGCTTTCGCAAGATGAGGGGCAGGTTTTGTGGCAGGCGCGGCACTTTCGCTATGTTGGGTGCATATTTCGTGGCAAGCGCAGCGCTTGTGCAAGCTTCCAGAAGACAGGCAACAAATACATAGAATGATCGATCGATAAATAGGTAGACAGGTAGTTGCTTGGTGTGTTGGTCAGTTAACTACTATTAGTTAGCTAGTTAGTCAGTTAGCTAGCTAGGTAGTTAGTCAGTCACTTATTTAGTTACTAGTTAGGTAGGCTGAGATCGTTCCGAGCGTGGCCCGAACGCGTCCAAACGCGCTCTGACTAGGCATCGCGAGTCAAAACCCGCAGAGGGTTGCACTTTTGGACATGTCCTTTCCTCCGCCACACACGCACATCTTTTTCGTGCGTGCTTGTTGTTCTCTTGTTTCTGTCAGAGAGCTAGCTTTCAACTAGTGTCCGTACCATGAAAGTTCATTCTAAACCTCCTTTGACAACTAGACGAAGACATGGACAAAAGGAACCTGCCAGCTTGCATTCACATGTCATTGGTCCTAAATCATTAGAGTGGGGTCCTGCATTTGAGGCTTGAAACCTAAACTAAGCCATGATATGGAAATAGTATGTGTGCGTGTCTAAGTAGTTCGCCCCACGATTTCATGTGCAACTTGAGGGCAAAGCTTTGCCCAGACAAAGGGGCAAAAGCTTGTGTCAGGTTCTCAGGTACAAAAAAAGTAAGCCAAGTGATTCTCACGCACAAGCGAACAGGCTGTTTCTGCGCCAAAGAGTATCTGGAACCATCTGTTCAGGATGCAAACGCGAACATCACTGAGAGGCGGCCAAGGGCAATCCATTCATCAAACCAAAACATATCAGGACTGGGTCCACAGCATGAACTACACTAGACTAGCCAAGGATTCAGCTTGTTACTGTTTCGATTCACAAAAAGACTTCTGGTAGATCAATCGCGGATGCATGAACAAGATGACCGAGCTGCTCCACTCCTGCTGTAGATCTAGGGGTTGATTCCGATTCCTGTCTTTTTCAACCATCGTTCTTTTCAAAAACCGGATCCGTTTCCCTCGGTTTCAAAGGAGGTTTTCTAGAAAGATCCGGATCCCTGGAAAGAATGGAAAAGGAAGGTACTCCTAGAGTAGATGATGGTTCTGGCTGCCTGTTGGTATGGCTTACACCCGCTTGGCTTGATAAGACCAACCCGAGCCTTCTTGAAGAAGGTCAAGCACGTACGGTGTCCGTTCCGACAAAGGCAAAACAGACAAATCCGTCCGCACGAACTTGGTTCGCCCCAAACACCAAAGCATTGTCAAGGTTCACATAGGCCTTACTGTGAACCCCAAGATGCAAAAGGAACAAACTCAAACCGGTTGATTTTTGGGTTCTACCAGCGTGGTCACAAAGGTTTCTACAGGACCCCCATGAAGCCAAGTAGAACCAGATTTGGCCAATCCGCTCTGTGCGCTCGCGCCTGTGCCGTCCCATTCGCCGCCGCCGCATGCGTCCGCTGCAGCTCCTCAAACCGCGCCTGCCAAGGAGATAACAGGCGCATGCGACCTGTTTGGGTGTGCCTTGTTTGAGGTTGGACCTCCCAAAATGACAATGAATAGAGTTAGGACCAGTTCTAGAATGTATATATTGCTTCACATGGAGTCACTGGTAAAATGTAAAATGTATCCTAAGTCTACCCAAGTGACAACGGCTTGCTCTTGGCTTCCCTTTGAACCACCAAACAGTGGGTACCAACTCCGAAAAGGACCGATGCGGCCGTTTGGATGTGAACTTTCATGGCTCTCCCCTGTGGACATCAAAATTCGGCGGGGTGGGACATGTCCGACCACTTTTGGATCGGCGGTTCCAACCTAAAACTCACACCCTATGGCGCATGGCCCCTACAATGCAGACCCCCGGGCCCTCCAATGAAGAACCCGGACCCCTCAAGGGCCCAAAAACAATCGGGAGCCTTAGGGCAAAAGAAAACCACACCAAAACCCACAAGTTGTTTTGCTCCTACAACGCAAGGCTGGGAATACGCGCACGGTTTCTTTGGAAAGTGCTTCAAAAACGGACAACTGAACTCGTGCTTGATTCGCCATTTGATCCCCCCCCCTGCCAAATCAGATTGGCTTGCATGGCGCCAGAACAAGGTGAATATGAGCTATGGTCAAAACTGTATAAATATGGCCGATTGGGACATGGTTGGATGACCATCCCCGTTAACCCCAAGTCAGTGCTCGGGACAACAGGTCTTCCCTTTCTTCCCGTCCTCGTCTGCTTCGGCAGTGAAAGCGACGCTTTTCAAACGCTTGAAACCAAAGCATTGACCTAGCAAGGGAAGTCCTAACGTTTGAAACCAAAGCATCGAAGCAGCACCCCCAAAACAAACACCATTTGTAGGATCGGAAGCCGACCCTGGACCCTGGGGGTTCCCCGAATTCAAGGCTCCACGGACACGGCTCCACGCGAAGCCTCCGCCATTTGGCTGAGGCGTCGGACTTCGGCATGGAGATCACGCCTCGGTGTATCGATGCCATCCCCGTCGATTCACTGACTCCCCTCACTTCCGTTTTCCTGTGGATTGGCCAAAAAACAAGCTGAACTTCATGCTTACCACTTACATCTAGGTCCTCCAGTAGAGAGGTTAGAATAAGGGTACCCTTCTTTCTGGACTTCTCTAGGCGTACGTTCCTTTTCCATTCTGAACCCGGGGATCCGGATCTTTTCAGGAAACCATCAAAAACCCGGGGAAAAAAGAAGGATGGTTGAAAGGAATGGAGAATCAACCCCTAGAACTTCCGTTTGCTTGTGGGATTGGCCCAACACAAAAATGAGCCTTTTCTAGGTCCTCCAGTAGAGAGGATAGAATAAAGGTACCAACTTTTTCGGTCGTCCATTTTCGTATGGGAACCGAATTTCCCAACCAAAAAAGGTAAAAGGGCACTACTGGGGGACCTAGTTTTGCTTACCACTAACATGGCCCAGGCCCAAAAAAGTGACGAAAAAGTCCACGAAGACTCCGGAAGTGAACGCCCCTACCGCCCGGGAACCCTTTCATTGGGTTCTCGGAAAGGGAAAGGGTCCTCCAATGGCTGGGAGTAAGTTTTTGATGAGATCTCGGCTTCCATGGCAAAACACATCTCTAGGGGAGCTTCTCCAAACAAGTTGTTTTCGGCGGGTTTTTGTTTTGGTTCCAAGCGGCTTCCTCCACGTGGCGCTTGTTTTTTTCTTCTTCTTTTTTTTGGTTGGTTCCACGTTGCTCGGGCCGTGTTCCAACCGAGGGAAACGATGGAAGCGACGGCCATCTTTCGGAGGGCTGGCGGAGCTCCGAAAGAAAGACACTTCGTCGCCACGCGCGAAAAAAGGGACCTGACACCAAGCAGCTGCGGTTTAAGTCTCCTTAAACAACATACCCTCCAATTTTGTAACGGGAAAAAACAACAACACAAAAAAACCTAAAACTACTACCCCTCCTTATTCTTTCTTGACCCTTTCTCGGGGGATCAAGTCAGAACATGGTTGGTTGTTTCCCTTAAACCTAACACATTTGGGGGGGTAGTCAGAAAATGGTTGGTTGTTCCCCTATTCCCCCACCACTGCAAGGGGGTGACTCTGATCATGGTAAAATATTTCCAAACAACAACAACAACAACAACAACAACAACAACAACAACAACAACAACAACAACAACAACAACAACAACAACAACAACAACAACCAAAAACAACAACAACAACAACAACAACAACAACAACAACAACAACAACAACAACAACAACAACAACAACAACAACAACAACAACAACAACAACAACAACAACAACAACAACAACAACAACAACAACAACAACAACAACAACAACAACAACAACAACAACAACAACAACAACAACAACAACAACAACAACAACAACAACAACAACAACAACAACAACAACAACAACAACAACAACAACAACAACAACAACAACAACAACAACAACAACAACAACAACAACAACAACAACAACAACAACAACAACAACAACAACAACAACAACAACAACAACAACAACAACAACAACAACAACAACAACAACAACAACAACAACAACAACAACAACAACAACAACAACAACAACAACAACAACAACAACAACAACAACAACAACAACAACAACAACAACAACAACAACAACAACAACAACAACAACAACAACAACAACAACAACAACAACAACAACAACAACAACAACAACAACAACAACAACAACAACAACAACAACAACAACAACAACAACAACAACAACAACAACAACAACAACAACAACAACAACAACAACAACAACAACAACAACAACAACAACAACAACAACAACAACAACAACAACAACAACAACAACAACAACAACAACAACAACAACAACAACAACAACAACAACAACAACAACAACAACAACAACAACAACAACAACAACAACAACAACAACAACAACAACAACAACAACAACAACAACAACAACAACAACAACAACAACAACAACAACAACAACAACAACAACAACAACAACAACAACAACAACAACAACAACAACAACAACAACAACAACAACAACAACAACAACAACAACAACAACAACAACAACAACAACAACAACAACAACAACAACAACAACAACAACAACAACAACAACAACAACAACAACAACAACAACAACAACAACAACAACAACAACAACAACAACAACAACAACAACAACAACAACAACAACAACAACAACAACAACAACAACAACAACAACAACAACAACAACAACAACAACAACAACAACAACAACAACAACAACCAACAACCAACAACAACAACAACCAACAACAACAACCAACAACCAACAACCAACAACCAACAACCAACAACCAACAACCAACAACCAACAACCAACAACCAACAACAACAACAACAACAACAACAACAACCAACAACCAACAACCAACAACAACAACAACAACAACAACAACAACAACAACAACAACAACAACAACAACAACAACAACAACAACAACAACAACAACAACAACAACAACAACAACAACAACAACAACAACAACAACAACAACAACAACAACAACAACAACAACAACAACAACAACAACATGAGGCCAGAGCAAACAAACCCAAAATCAGGCAGGTTGAGCCAGGCGCTGTACTTCCCCGAGCTGTTGAAGCTGCGCCAGGCCGTTGCAGGCGCGCAGCCTGGGGGATGTCCATCTTTTTTGGCTTTGAAACCCACGAAACCCAGGGAGAAGCACCCCCCTATGAAAAAACGTAGGCTTAAACCCAGGGGTTCTCCTTGGGAGGGTGTTCATCTTTTTTGGCTTTGAAAGTGTTAACCATTGCCGGGGAGACCTGCTTGTGTGTTCAACAAACGTCTAAGGAGGTTAATTCACCAGTTTGTTTCTAATCACCCCCAATTGCACCAGTTAGAACCCATGGTTATACCCTAATGTTGACCCCATATGTATCAATTATTCATACGGGGGTGTTCCCCTAAAGTGGTCTGATTCCCCACTAAATTCAGGGAGAAGCACCCCCTGTTCATAAACTGAGGTTGACTAATAGGGTGCTAACATTAGATGGCATCAGGGTTCCATGTTTTGACCACAAGGTAGGCTCAGTTGCCCAAAGGACCAACAAATCAAGGGTTTCACCTTTTGGGGCCGTGACCAAAAATGGATCAAACTAGAGAGAACAAAAGGTCAAAAGGTTGGCTTTGGGCAACTGAACAGGCTTTGGCCAAGGCTTGAACCGAGGGCTTCTCCTTGAAATGCTTGATCTTTGTGAAAGCAGATGCCACCAGGTTTCCATTGTATGCATAACTTTATATGGGGGGAAAGAGGATGGATTGCGCCAACTTTCATGGGGGATGACAACCAGTATGGGAAATGGACAGGGATGGTACCTTTAGGGTAAATCTTTAGTAGATGCTACCCTACCCGTGGGGGATTCCAAACCTTGAACCGTAGGAATTTGTGCCACCATGGCACAATTTCCTGGGTAGAAGTGTAGCATCCACGTCTACCATTTATCCACCAAAGATCTATAGCGGATTGTGTTCTACTCTAAAGTGCCACCCCAATCTATTTTTCCCCATGGTTGTAATCCCCCATGAAACTTGGCGCAATCCCTCCCCCCCTGCAAAGCGAAACACACAATTTTCGGATGTGTGTTCATAACGCAACCCCGGCTAGTATTCAAACCTGATCTTCCGATTTCCTGTCTGGTCAATTGTATGATTCCCATGTGCTTATCCAAAGCAACTGCATCAAAGCTGTACCTGCAAATGTTTGGACAGGTACCGAATCAAGTGACCACATCCAAGCAATCCAGAGCCAAACAAAGCGGCCTAGCACAGGCAACCATCGACACCCCGCAACAAGATCAGCCATGAACAGGGGTCACCTGACTGATGGTGTCCATTAAAACTGCCACGGTTGGAGGTTCCAAAAAGGGACATGAACAAAAACCTGAATTTCAGCTTCCCTCCAGGTGGTGTTCCGGGGTGGCTTCCCATTTACCATCTCCAAGAACCATGGGTTCAAATCCAATTCAGTTCCCACCAATCCAAACCAACCAAGGGTTACCTGAGAACTCGCCTAGGTCTTCCACCTGTGGGATTTGGATTCGATCTAAAAACACAAATGCTCCTTCCGGCCGACAGCCCCCCCCCCCCCACCGAGTTCTGGCTGGAAAAAATGGTTGAGCCACCAAAGCCCGGCAAAGCCATGCGGGAAAAAAAATCAGAAGCCCGGCGGTTCTCCAGAAAGGAAAGGTATTCTGTGCTCGGTTGCGAACTCTGCTCCCCTGCTAAAAGTGAATAACTTCTAGTGGTTTAGTTCGGATAACCCCATTAGTTGGCCAAAAGTTCTCAAGTCCTAACAGCCGTTGGCAAAATGCACCGAAGTTTTGGTGTTGGATGATTTCCAGGAAGACTTGGCTGGACCTTGCACACAACCACGAGTTCCCTCCAACTTCGACTGATTAACACGGCACCTCAGAAGCCTGAGAGGAGCATCCCCCCGTTGGTGGGACGATCTTTGGGCGGCCCACGCAAAAAAAAGTCGCACAATGCGGCAACTTCTGCTCCACCTGCTCCGCCCGTCTCCCCACCCGCATACATATTGTGTCTTTTTTCAGGGACCCCAAAACAGTGTCTTTCCTTGGGTTTCCCCTTAAACACCACATAAAAGGGGGGTGCCCTCAAAAAAAGACACCCCCCATATCTGTCTCTCTCTCCCTCTCTCTGCCGCGGTGCTGAGAAGATCCATCCATCACCTCTGGGCGGATCGGAATCGATTCCCGCGCTTCGGGCCTTGGGTTCCGTGGGTTCGGTTCATTTAACCAAACTCAACCCAAAAAAAGATGTGCCAGAGCGATTCAACCCCTGGGTAAAACCAGGCAATTTTCAACACCCCTTGTCCAAACTACCTCCTTTGGGTTTCGCCTTCATGCGCGTTGGAAGGAGAGCAAAAGTTTATTTTTTAGCAGTTAAGTGAGGATTACTAAACCACAATAAGCAAAAATGTGAAATGTTTCCCAACAACAACCATGGAAAGGTCGGGTTGCCTGAACCCATTGTCCCTGCACCCAAAGCAGCCCCTAGGTCCTCCAGTAGAGAGGTTAGAATATGGGTACCAACTTTGTTCTGTCGTCTATTTTAGTAGAAAGGAACCCTCCCAACCAAAAAAGGGGTGACTTTCAGGGCACCCCCTGGCCTGAGTGTATCGCATCCCATTCCAAAATCCAAAAGTAGGTACAAGCTGGGGTTCAGAACCCGAAACTCGAGTTCCTTAAAAAGCCAGAGACAACCCTATTGGACCCCCCCCCCACCAAAACGGCCCAAGCCAAACGCACCAAAAACCGGGCGGAGGCGCCAGCAGCGACATGGACCGCAGTTCCCGCAGCCAGCTCTCCCCGTGCGCGCCGCACAAGTTCTCCGCGAGGTCCAGCGCGCCGCGGAGCGGGAAGCCCCTGGCGAAGAGATCGGAGCGGCGCGGGAGCGGCGCGGGGGAGAGCGGCACGGGCACGCGGGAGCGGCATGGGCGGTACGGGCGGTACGTACCCTGCGTCTTTTTGTTTTTTACTACTAAAGTTGGAACCCAAAGCCCACCAAAAACACCACCCCAACTCCAACCTCAACTCCACCAAACACAACCCGACTCACCATGTGAGTCGTGGTCATGGCTCCTGCAAAAGGAATCCTTTGCATCGTGTGCCCGGTAAAGGGACCATAACCACCCCTACCCACCCCGAACAGAAATTAAATTTCGGCCGTTGATGCCTTGTTATACCCTCCGGTCCACATGGAACCCACCAAAAGGTGCAACAAATGTGAACCCGGTAGGTCCCTTTGTTAAAGGAAAATGTAAGGGAACAGCAGTGGAAGCCAGGGGCGTCAGAAGCAAAGCCGATCGGTGCAAAAATGGGGAACCCCAAACCATGCAAAAACTACCAAGGCGGATACCCGCAACCATGCACGGTTGGGTCCCTCG